TCTCAGGAACTCAGGGCGGGGCCTGAGCGCCCCCATCCCCACCTGGCTGGGTGAGGGGCGCTTCCTGCCTCCTCCCGGTGGCTCCGATCGGGAAGCCTCCCGCATGCGCCCCCGGTGCCCTCGCCCCAGAAGACCGGGCGGATAACCGGGGCTTGTCGGGCATTTCGGGGGCTTCACCCGGAGGGTTAGCGCGGGCGTTCCTTCTGCACTTGCCACGCCTTTTCGGGTTTCTTCTACTCTCCTGGGGTCTAGTCAAACGAGTCGCTTTCCCACACCTGGTAGACCCTTCCCAACTCCACCCACCTCCCCTGACCTGTCCTCTGGCAGAATCAACTTTCTCTTCAACTCGGTTCTATAATGGAATGCCCCACGCTTTTAGATCTTGATGATCTGTCCCACGTCCTTCTGCAGTCGTTACCGTGGCTCTCCCATTGAAGGGCCTGACACTTAGGAAGTAGGAAACCCGGGAGTCCCTAAGGGAAGTCGTCATAAGAGTTTTTATTACGGGATGTTTGGGTTTGGTTTGCTATCCCATCTTTCCGGAATAGGAGGCCAGCTTTGTTTTTAGGTATTATGGAATAGATTAGAATCTTTTCTGCTGTGTGATCCGGTTAGTCTCTTCCCCACCTTAATTCCCAAGTGACGGCTCTTAAAAGAATCGTTGTGACACCTTGAGAAACTGGTCTTTGCTCGCATGCAATTATTAAGTCATTTGGGTGTTCCTCCGACAACTTTGGCATATGATACCATGTTTCATAATCGCTTTAGATTTGGAGAGGGTTGCTAGTTGAGGCTATTGTTTAGTAGGAGCAAAAGGTCTTTGTTTTATCGAGTACTTGAAAATGAGCTTTTTTATTCAAGGCGTGTATAGTTTATGCACCACAAAGGAAAAAACAAAAGTGATGTAAATCTGAGAAATCGTTAGATGAAGTGCTCTTGAGATGACATTTCTGAATGTTTTGGAACTGGAACAAGTTAGTTTGCGGCAAGATCTCTTGTAGCCCAAACTCGCTCCAGACTCCCCATCCTCCTGTCTCTGCCTTCTGAGCGCTGGGATTACAGCTATGTGCCATGACTCCTAGCATCCCCTCCACCCCCCATTCATTTGTAATTATTTTTTCCAAAGGCTTTTCCATAGAACCCAGTTGAAATGTGGTAGACTTTGAACACTTTATACACTGCTTCACGAGACTCCTGCCATGTGTTCTTTTAAAAAGCATTTTACAACTGTCGTGTGTGTGTGTGTGTGTGTGTGTGTGTGTGTGTGTGTGTGGTGTACGTGTGCTGCTGTGGAGGTCAGGACAACTTTATAAAGTCGATTCTTTCCTTCCAGCAGATGTGGGTTTTGGGGATCTAACTTGGGCTTTCATAGCAAGCTCTTTTACACACTGAGTCATCTCTGGGGCACTTAATGCATTAAAAAAATATTTTTTGTATGGTTGTTTTACCTTTGTGTATGTCTGTGCACTGTATGTTCCTGGTGCCCACTGAAGCCAGACGATCCCCTGGAACTGGAGTTGCAGAGGTTTGTGAGCAGTAACATAGGTGTTAGGAATTGAGCCTGGGTCCTCTGGAACAGCAGCCAGTGCTCCTAACTGTTGAGCATCTCTCCAGCCCCCACAATCCCTTCTTTACAATATTGATTGTACCTCCTTTGAGTTGATTTCAGTAGTGGTAACTACTGAACCATTATATCCAAAGTGCTAGCCTAACAAAAGCTTCCCCAGGCCGGGAGATGCCTCAGCTGGTAAAGTGCTTGCAGTGTAAGCATGAAGACCCCAGTTCAGAGCCCCAGCAACCAAATATTGCCAGACAGGGCAGTGTTTGTCTGTATCCCCAGTACTTGAGCATCTGCGTGCAAACATGTACACAGGAACACATATACAAACATGCATATACATGCATACACATACACACATAAGTCACTCAGTTATCAGCAGGTTTATACACTTAATACTTTAGATGTAAATTTATTGTGTATGTGTATGCACTCAAACATGAGTTGGGGAACACATGTGTGTGCGTATAGAGGCAGGAGGACAACCTTGGTGGTGTTCCTCACTGGGCTGGAACTTTGCCAAAGTGGCTAGCCCCAGATATCTGCCCATTTCTTCCAGCACTGCAGTTACAAATGGGTACTCCATGCTTGGCTTATTAAATGAGGGTTCTGGGGCTTGAACTCGGATCCTAATGCTAGTATGACAAGCACCTTACCGTCTGGGGCGTCTCCCCAGTCCTAAAGAGTACGTTTGCTTTTCTCATCAACTTAAGTATCCATAGCAAATGAACATTTAGTAAAGCCATAGCATATTTCAAGAGAATGCACCTGTAACTTTAGGTTATTAATCATAGAAGAGGCCATTCTGGGACTATTTGAGCATAAATGCTATTTTCCAGAGAATTCTTTCCCCTTCCATAACTTGCCTTTAGTCAGAGAATCATATAGAGATGACTTCAACCACTTCTAGAAATTAATTTTACACTTGCCCCTTTGAGTATTTATTATTAAGTTAGAATATAAAAAGTTATCAGCCAGGCGTGGTGGTACAAGCCTTTAATCCCGGCACTTAGAAGGTAGAAGCAGGCAGATCTCTATGAGTTCAAGGCCAGCCTGTTTACATAGTGAGTTCCAGGACAGTCAGGGCTATGTAGAGAGATCCTGTCTAAAAAACAAAACAAAAGTAAATAAATAAAGCAGTTGTCTCTTGGTAGTACCATCTCCAGTTGGAAATAATATGTGAGTGAATGGAGTTAAGCAGATGGTATGTGCTATAATCTCAGCTATTCAGCGTGCTCAGACAGTAGGATCACCAGAATTCCTGACCCTGTACATTCAGGTGGAGGCGAGAGTTCCTTGAGCATCTAAAACAGTGGTTCTCAACATGTGGGTCGTAACCCTTTGGGGGTCCAATAATACTTTCACAGGGGTCACCAAAGACCATCTGCGTATTGGATATTTGCATTATGATTCATAATAGTAGCAGATTATAGTTATGAAGCAGTAGTGAAAATTTTGTGGTTGGTGGTAGAACTGTATTAAGGGGTCACAGCATTAGGAAGGTTGAGAACCACTACTCTAAAAGGTTTGTGGTTCTGTTTATTTAAAGGATACAACTTTTCTGTAATTTTTAAAAAGTTTTTCATTTTAAGACAGGGTCCACTGTGTAGCTCTGGCTGGCCTGGAACTTGCTTTGTAGACTAGGCTGTCCTTGAACTCACAAAGACCTGTCTGCTTCTCCCTCTCAAGTGTTAGGATTCAGGTTATACAGCACCATGCCTAGCCTCTAAATATTTTAAGATATAATTATATATCTGTCACAAAGTCACATTTATGTGAGTATGTTTCTATTCCTCAAATTCTCCTTTTTTTGTATAAAATACAGATTTTAGTTATTGTGGATGATTGAACTTGGGCCTATGAGATATAGCATTTACCATCTCCTAACTTTAATAATAAATTATCAACGACAGCTGCTTTCTTGGATGTGATGTTTCATTGTTGCTCTTATTCTGGTACCCACTTCCATCCCTGGCTACATTCAGTGCAGTCTGTATCTGTGCTCTGAATGTAATGTGAACTGGGATTGCGAAGAACAAGACAGAAAAGATGCTGAGAGTTGACCTTGTGCCCTTTTGTGATTGCCGCTCTTAGTGATATTCAGGATATGTGGGATTCACAGAAAGCCCAATTCCAAATAATTGATTTGAGGAAATGGTAACAACACAGATTTTGAAACCTCTGCCTGGGTTTGAACTCCAGCTCTGCCACTTGCTTCTTGTAGGATTCTGGATAAGTTACTTATTACTTCTGTGGTTTTCTTTTTCTTTCTTTCTTTCTTTTTTTGCCTCTGTATTTAATGACACAAATTAGCTGCCTCAAAGTCACAGTCCTGAGTCCAGAAGTCAGCATTGCAGAAATGGTGGCTACTTCTATACTTAGGTCCTTGTGTTTGCTGAACCCCATATCAAATACGGGGCAAAAGAGGTCTAGGGGTGTAGTTCAGTGGTAGATCACTTACTTAATATGGCCAAGGGACCAGCCTCCAGCATAAAATAAAAATGAAGGAATAGAACACTATGCATTAAAGAGGTGGTGACAATAAGCATTGTGACTGTGATTTGATAAGCCAGCCACCCAGGGAGACCAGTCCACTGGTCCATTTTTGAGAGCACCATTAGGGTTGTATCTGTTTTATATTATAGTTAATGCTGTCACTGGGGTTTTACCTGGCTTCAGATTGAACCAAAAAAAAAAAAAAAAAAAAAAAAAAAAAAAAAGGGGGTTAAAATTAAAAAAAAAAAAAAAAAAAAAAAAAAAAAAAAAAAAAACCCGGGGTGTGGCTTGGTTACAGTTCCCTTTTATGATTTTATAGACTGTCTTGGTAGAAGTGGAAATGTAGTGTGTTCATCTTCTGGGCCCAACACAGTAAAATATGGACCCCAAATCATAGAATTTTAGTAGCAAAGTGAATTTCTCTTCTACTTGTTTTATTGCTTTTTATTGTATTATATGTTCATGGTGTTCCATGCATGCTACAGTGTACATGTGGAGGTCAGAGGGCAATTCGGTCCTCGCCCCCACCATGTGAGTCCTGGGAATTGAGCTCCAGGCTTGATGATCACAGCAAGCATACATTTACCTCTTGAGCCATTTTGCCAACTTCCCACCTGGGTAAAACCCTGATTACAGAGATAACAGGCTAACTTGGGCAGTGGCAACAAGACAGAAAAATGCATGGTCAGAGGTGGAGATAAATAACTTTTTTGGTTCGTGTAGAATTTGTCTGTAGCAATATGATTTTTTAATAGATTTGAACAATTTTTTCATTCCATTAATCATACTAGAAGTATAGAGCATATTTCCAATAGCAGTACCATTTTATTTGGTCAAGGTTTGGTTTTAAGTGCTTATTTTTAATTTTTTAGGGACTGGGGTTGTAACTCAGGCTTGAGTTTTATCTATCCCCAATACCACATAAACTGACCATAATGAGATACATACTTTTGTTTTTTTCAAGATTTCATCATTTTTATTTTATATGTATGAATGTCTACATGAATCAGACTACACCATGTGCATACCGTGACTGAGGAGGCCAGGAGAGGGCATCAGGTCCCTTAGGACTGGAATTACAGCTAGTTGTGAGTTCCCCCATAGATGCTAGGAACCAAACCCAAATTCCCTGCAAGATCAGCAAGTGTTTTTACCTGCTGAACTGTTTCTCCTGCCTCCAAATCCCCAATCTTTAATAGCAAGAATTTTTTATCAAAACTTTTGATGTTAATATTTCTATATATTAAATATGGTTACCAGGGGGTGAGGGAGATGGCTCCATGATTCCAAGCACTGGCTGCTCTTCAGAGGACCCAGCAACCCATATGACGATGACTCAACCCTCTGCAACTCTGGTCTCAGAAGATCCAACCCCTTCTTCTGGTCTCCACGAATGCCAAGACTTGTACACAATGCAGACATAGATGCAGGCAAAACACCTATACACATAAAAATAAAAATGTCTTTAAAGAATATGGTGACTGTAGTTTAAGAACCCTACACTGAAGTGTATTGCCTAGCAGTTGGACTGAAGAGCATCACAGCTGCTTCCCAAAGTTGAGTGTCTGGTTGCCATGTTAGATACTTCTTGATTTCTTTTCTTTTCTTTTTGAGATGGGATCTCACTATGTAGGTGACTGGCCAGGAACTTATGGATATACACCTTTCTCTGCCTCTTGAGTGCTGGGATTAAAGGTATGCACTGCCATGCCTGGCCTTGACTGAATGGTTTTGTTTGTTTTGTTTTGTTTTGTTTTTGTTTTTGTTTGTTTTTTGAGACAGTGTTTCTCTGTGTAGCCCTGACTGTCCTGGAACTTGCTTTTAGACTAGGCTGGCCTTGAACTCATAGACATCCCTGCCTCCCAAGTGCTGGAATCGAAGGTGTGCAGAACATCCCTGGTATGCGCCGCTACCACCTGGCCTTGTCTGAATGTTTTAAATCAGGTATGTCATACATAAGAACACATGAGTCGCTAGGGTGTGCAGTCAAGGAAGCACACATGGAAACAGTCCTAAGATGAAATCACCTCCTCTCAGTCCCCTTAGAGGGGGACTAGCCCTTCCAGTGCTTGCTTAATTCTACCATTGAAGATTAAGAGATTCATTTCGACTGTTTGTAAGCACCTTTCATTGTTATTGTGTGTCTCTGCGTGATATGTTGTATGGGTGGACACATGCACCACTGTGCATGGAGAGAGATCAGTGGAAAGCTTTGTGGAATGTTCTCTTCTACTTTAAATAGGTTCACTAGGCTCTTCCCCCACATATATTTTTGTTGTCTTTGTTGGGGGGGATGGGGGGGTAGTGGGGATCGAACCCAGGGGCTTGCATACACTAGCTACATCCTTACCTCCTGTGTCTACTTTTTTTTAGTGTTATGTGTGTGTGTGTGTGTGTGTGTGTGTGTGTGTTTATTTTTTAAGAGTATTTGAGAGATTCATCCACATTGTTGCAGCTACTTGTATTTAATTTACTTTTATCCTTCTATACTGTTCTTTTGGAAGTACACTTTTGTGATCTAGACTGTGTTGGGGTGCTTTCCAGTTTGGAAGCATACAAGTAGTGCTTTGGTGAGTGCGTTTGCAGTGTCTGTGTGTAACAGCAGAGCACATGGATGAGCTCTGGTAGAGATGAAAGTTACTGGAGAGTGCTTTCCCGAGGTTATACTTAACTCCTGTGACAACCATTTTCTATAATTCTAAACCTCTCCTCTGTAATAGCTGACCCAGAGACTGGATAATAGTAACACATTGTAAATTTTCTTTTATAAAAATACAACTTTTGGGGGCTGGAGAGATGGCTCAGCGGTTAAGAGCACTGACTGTTCTTCCAGAGGTCCTGAGTTCAATTCCCAGCAACCACATGGTGGCTCACAACCATCTGTTATGAGGTCTGGTGCCCTCTTCTGGTGTGCAGATATACATGGCAGCAGAATTTTGTATACATAATAAATAAATAAATAAAATCTTTTAAAAAAATACAATTTTTAGGGCTGGAGAGATGGCTCAGAGGTTAAGAGCACCGACTGCTCTTCCAGAGGTCCTGAGTTCAATTCCCAGCAACCACATGGTGGCTCACAACCATCTGTTATGAGGTCTGGTGCCCTCTTCTGGTGTGCAGATATACATGGCAGCAGAATTTTGTATACATAATAAATAAATAAAATCTTTAAAAAAAGATACAATTTTTAGCTAGGTGTGGTGGTGCATGCCTTTAATCCCAGCACTTGGAGACAGAGGCAAACAGATTTGTATGAGTTTGAGGCCAGCTTGGTTTACATAGTGAGTTCCAGAGCTACAAAGTGAGACCGTGTCTGAAAAACAACAAAAACATTTTTTAGGGCCTGGAAAGATAGCTCAGCAAGTAAAGCACGTACTGCCAATCCTTAAAACCTGAGTTCGGTCCTTGGGACTCACATTATGGAAGGAGAAAATTGAATTCTTCAAGTTGTCCTCTGCATCCCCTCCAGCCAATCAATTAATAAGTATAATATTTAAAAATCATTGTTTTAGTGTGTGTGTGTGTGTGTGACATGCATGCTAGTGCTGGCATGCAGATGGCCAGGTGTGCATGTGGAGGTCAGAGGGCAAGTACCCAGGAGTCATTCTCTCTTTCTACAGTAGCATCTGGGGATTTACAGTGGGCACCTTCACCTGCTAAGCCACCTCTTGTCCTGTGCTACGGTTTTGATACACATGTCCATGATGACTACAGAAGTTGAGATCTTTTTTTTTTTTTTTTTTTTTTTTTTTTTTTTTTTGCCTCTTGACTATCTTGTGAAATGTTTGCATTTTCAATAGGGTATAAGTAGAACATCTGTACGTTTCTACCTCGTAGTGGGTGGTATTCAGTAAAAGTTGCTCCTAGCAGTAGATGGACAGTAGAAGGAAAACAAGGCAGAGATAAAGAATTCTGTTACCATGTGACTGCAACTTGAAGGGATACTTAACTAGCTCCAAGCCACCCTAGGCAACATGCCTTGGCAGACTGTGAACATAAGCTTGCTCTAGCTGTGTGTCAGATGTAAGTTCTCTGAACTCTGCCTGTTCCATGACAGACATGTGTACTATATCTACTTCAGCAGTTACATTTTGTTCCTATAACCTTGATTCATCAGGGGAAAGTGAATCTTGTAAGGTGTGCTTTGGAGTCATCACTTGTCATGTAACAGCTTAGACCATGGGGCATGATGCCTGGCAGGTTGAGTTCAGTAGGCTTTGTTGGCCCTTAGAGAGCCAGAGTTAACAGAGGAAGTGTTCTCTGCCTCTGCCTCCCAGAAGGCAGGCTTAGGGTCTGTGTCCACTGGACTCATCCACTCTTTACCCATAGCTTAGGAAAGCAACACTGTTAGGAGCAGGGGAGTGACAAGAAGGCTGCTCAGTGTCAGGCTGACTGGATTGGTTAGTGCGTTCCATTTGTGTATGAAAGCCAGCTAACCAGCATTAGAAGCCACTTGACTTGTGGGATGATGTACCCAACCTCCAGGAGAGGATGCTAAGGACTCCTTAGGGAGCTAAACTTGGCCGCAGTTCCTCTCGCTAGCCTGTCCACTCATGGGTATGGACTGTCGTCAGCTTGGGACACTTCTCTTTCCTATATGCTACATGGAATGAGTCTGCAAAGTCGGCCGATGAGAGCTTCAGCTCTAGAGCTGTGGGTCTTAACCCAAAACAGAATTGTTCCCACTTGTTCCTGAGTTTGAAAGGACAGGCTTTTAAGGTCAAATAGCAACAAACTAGTTAGAAGAATGAATGTTCTAGGAGATAACATTCCCTTTTTCCAGAAGTAATTTGTCATGGAATCTCAAAAGACGAATTCTTGTAGGTACTAAAACATTCAAAAGGCTAAATGTTTTTATAGGGCCACTTTTAGGCTTATATGAGATGGGATAGATGAAGTTATACTGTAAATCATTCTTCATTTTTGTTCCTATAGTTAAATGGCTGTAAAATAAGTGTGGACAAATGAAAATGCATATACCTGTAAATCGGGTTTGCCTAAGGCTAATAATGTTTGACTGTATTAAAAAGTTATAATTAAATTTTTTAGAAGATACTATATAAATCTGCTTAATAAATCACATTTCAATTTATTCTTTTGGAAACACTAGCAAGAAGGCTCACTTTGTGCTCAGCATTGCCTGAATAATCTATTGCAAGGGGAGTATTTTAGCCCCGTGGAGTTGTCCTCAATTGCACACCAGCTCGATGAAGAAGAAAGGATGAGAATGGCAGAAGGAGGAGTTACTAGTGAAGACTATCGCACATTTTTACAGGTACTGATTTCAGACTTACCAAATCCCGTTTATTTTTAACATGCGGGTGTTCTTTAAAGGAGGATGAGCCATTCTCCCCTTCGGAGTCTGACTTGTTAATTATAACTCTGCTCTTCTCTTGGTAAATGGGACTGTACAGCATGTTCTTGTAAATGTGCACACTAATGACAGTTTTTAATCCTTTTCCCATCCCTCTGCCCACAACTGCCCATGAAAATTGAACAGCAGCCTTCTGGAAATATGGACGACAGTGGCTTTTTCTCTATTCAAGTAAGTAGTCCAGAGTGTGTGTGAAGTGCTGCCTCACTTTCAGCGCTGCTGTGCTCACGCTCCGTTTGCGGTTGATGTGGCACAGCCTGGCACAGCTTTTTATGTAACGATGGAACCTTCAGGAGTTCCCTCGGTAAACTGTCTGGAGAGGATAAGACTGTGCTCCAGAGTGCTGTCCACAGAGAGATGAACATTAGAACTGTAGACTATTCATTTAGAACAGGGCTTTGGTCGCTTGCTTGCTTAGGACAGGCAGGGTCCCACTATGTAGTCTGGCTGGTCTGGGACTTGGGTTCATCTTCCCATCTGTGTCTCCAGACTGGAATTTATAGGCATGTGCTACTGTACTCAGTTTAGAACAGGGCCTTTAAAAATTGCTTTCTGAGAGAGATTGCTTAATTTGCATGTAGGTGCTAAAAGCTTTATTTCTAGTAAATTACAGTGCTTCAAACTTACTGTCTCTGGTCCATTTGAGAAATTGCAATGGCTTGCAGCCTTCTGTTTGAATCATCCTATGGGACTGGGTTCCTGTAGTACTTCTATGGCTTCTGATTTGTGTGGTAATTTGTGACCCTTTTGTTTGTCTGTTTGGTTTTGTTTTGTTTATTTGAGACAGGGTCTTTCTGAATTTGTGGCCTGTTTGAGAGCATGGGATTGGGATTGGCTCCAAGGCCTCACAGATGTTCAAAGTCTACTGCTGAGCCACATCCCATTAGGCTCCATTTTAATTCTGTGGTGGTTTATTTTTTATAGTGCTGGAGATGTTATTTAATGTTTTGTCACATACTGAACAAGTATTCTTCCCTAGAGAAAACCTCTAGCCCAGGGCTTTATGTGTGTTTGTTTGTTTTGCTTTTTTTAGACAAGGTGTTGCTTTGTAGCCTAGCCTGGTCTTGAACTTCCCAAAGTTCTGCTTTGGCCTCCCAGGTGCTGGAATTGCAAGTGGGAACCACCATGCCTAACTTAATTCATGTACTTGTTGGGAGGCTTTTATATATGGATCTTCCATTCGAACCATGTAAGGGTTGTCCAAGTTCTTTTAGAATCTCTTTTGAGAGATCTATTTATGCAAGTAGTTTTCTTTTTGTTTTTTAAGATTTATTTATTTATCATGTATGCAGTATTCTTACATGTATGCCTGCAGGTCAGAAGAGGGCACCAGATCTCATTATAGATGGTTGTGAACCACCATGTGGTTCCTGGGAATTGAACTCAGGACCTCTGGAAGAGTAAGCAGTGCTCTTAACCTCTGAGCCATCTCTCCAGCCCACAAGTATATTTCTTTATAAATTCCTTCTGTGCTACCCTCCTAGAGTCCTTATTCTCTAGTGCTTCCACCCAGTGCTCCAGTTGACATTATGAGGACCACTGGCCCTGAGCCTAAGTCAAAGGTGGCACAGCCCCTGCCATCTCCTTTGTGTGTGGCATTGCTTTCATTTGCTGCTCCCTGGCAATTGTGTTTGCTCTGAGTTACTTACTACACAGTGCTTGTTTCTTTGTCGCCCACCTAGGAAGACAGATAGAACATTTTCTGAAATTTCTCTCCTTTTGTCAGTTTGCAATAATCAGGTTTGACTTTTTGTTCATGACCACAAAAGTCTAAAATATATCAAAAATATATCTTTTTAAATATTTACTTTTATTTTAAAAATTATTTGTCTATGTGTGGGTATGTGTACATGAGTACTTTGTCTGTGGAGGCCAGAAGAGGGCATTGGAGTCCTGGAGCTGAAATTACGGGTGGTTGTGAGCCCCATCACATGGATGCCAGGAACTGAACTTCGGTCCTGTAAGAGAAGTATGCACTATTGACTTAGTCATCTCTTCAAGCCTCTCCTTCTCCAAACCTTTCTTTGAAATCTGCAGGGAGAACTTACTTTACTTTGGTCAGTGCCATAGCAGGTGAGTGTATGTAACAGCACCCACAGATGGAATGTGCTTCTGGATAACTGAGAGAGTTTTATCTGTGAGTTGTGTGGTTTTCTGACATTTCTCGGAAACCTAGTATGGAAAGCACTCTTTTAAAATGGATTTGTAGGGGCTGTAGAAATGGCTTCGAATTTAAGAATGCTTCGTGGTATTTCAGAGGACCAGTTCAGTTCCCAGCAGCCACATCAGCCTACAGCCTAAAGCTGCCTATGACTCCAATGTGTGGGACCTGACATCCTCTTCAGCCTCCACAGGCACTCATGCAATGGTCTCATTGTCACTCAGACACACTAATAATGCTTAAATAAAAATCATTAAAATAAATCTTTAAAAAGTAACAATGAAATAAAATTAAATTCACATGTATATATTATTTATGGGTTTAGTGGGGTTTCATGGGGACATAATTTTTTAAAGCAATATCCTCCTCAAAGTTTATTTATTGTTGCTTACACATTTAATGTAGCTGTGCTACTTAATTCGAACGTGCAGGTTTGGCTCATGAAAAGTTGCTGTTTTCTTTTGACAGGTCATAAGCAATGCCTTGAAAGTGTGGGGTCTAGAACTAATCCTGTTCAACAGTCCAGAGTACCAGAGACTCAGGATTGACCCTATGTAAGGTTCTTTCCTACATTTCTTTACTTAAACTTGATTTTAAAGCTGTAGTTTCTGAATGAGAAGGAGTTCATCTCTGCTTTGATACTGCATTTGATGCCCTTGGCCTTCACTGTGTCACCTTTCTGGTAGCCTCGAGCAGCTGCTTTCTAATCTGTCACTGGTGGCGTTGACCTGTGTGGTGTGGAGGCTTTGGGGCATAACATCAGTAAACTCCTGTGTAAATGCATAGAGTTATGTAATTTTTAATTTTTGAAATCAGTAACACTTCAGTGTAACTATATCCTAACTGATAGAAATTTTAAAGTACTTGCTAGTATATATCTCATATCTCAGCTTAACAGTATTAACAGTATATGTTTTGTCTTTTCTAGAAATGAAAGATCCTTTATATGCAATTATAAAGAACACTGGTTTACAGTTAGAAAATTAGGAAAACAGGTAATATTTCTTCTCCTTTCTTGTCCTTTTATCACACTCTATACTTCATGTTAAACTACAGTCCAAGCAGTTGATGTCTTTAGAATGAAGCCCGGGATTCTGTGCACTCAACCTGAGCCTTGCCTCAATTCAACAGTAAAGACTGAGTATCTTAACAGAAGATAATCAGTTTCTCTTCAGATTTTTAAAATAAAAACCATACAAGTTATATTATAATAAAATTCTGTATTTAAAAATGCATATATGGTTACTATTAAGTATGTTTTCTTGTGATGATTTGTGTTTAGCACAGTTGTGACAAAGCCTGAAATGTCAGGAATAAGCAAAACATTTAGCAGTAGGCATTAGTAGGATTATTCAGGGGACTCCACTGTCCAGTGGTATATACATCTGCATGAAAACACCATTGGCCAGGCTTTTGAAAGAAGCAGTCGTGGAAAGGTCTTCTTAGCAGAATGTTAAACTTGGGTAAGGGTTATTAGAAACCAGCTCATACAATTAAAGGTAATGAACTTCGAATATACAAGCAGTGTGGATGAATCTCAGAAATGGGTACTAGATACAATGACAGACAGTAGACTAACCAGTGCTTGTGTAGGACTGGGGATGGAGAGAAGGAACATGAGAGAAAGGCTCTAGAGGGGTCAAGAGACTGGACTCTGATGAATGTGTTCACTCTTTTGTTCATGTTGATGGCTTAATGGGGGTGATACAAATATTTTTTTAAATGACTAATTGTAAAAAAATTTTAAAAAGACAGGTTGTAATAAAAGTAAGTGCAGTTTATCCAAGTACAGTGGCCTGTGCCTGTGACTCAATACTCAGGAGACTGACCTAGGTAGACCTTGAGGCCAGCCTGGACTACATACATAATGAAACCTTCAAGAGAGTTAGGAGGAGAGGGACCACAGTTTAGTTCATGGCAGTTATGCCTCAATAAAGCTGGTTTTTGTGTTTTGTTTTGTTTTAAATAAAAGGCAAAAATGCCGAGTGCAGTGGTGTACACCTTTAATCCCAACAGAGACAGGGAGATCTTTGAGTTTTAGGCCAGCCAAAGGTACATAGTGAGACCCTGTCTTAAGAATAAATAAATTACATTAAATGCAAAAAGGAAAGAAGCAATACATTGAACTGGTTATATGGCTCAGCGAGTATGATCTTACTGCTCTTGCAGAGGATCTGGGTTTGGCTCCTAGCACCCACATGGCGCCTCACAACTGACTGTAACTCCAGTTCCATAGAAGCCAATGCCCCTTCTGACCTCTGTGGGCACCAAGCATATGCATGGTGAGCATACACATACACATAAAATTAAGTATTTAAAAAGAAAGGACACTGTGTGTGTGTGTGTGTGTGTGTGTGTGTGTGTGTGTGTGTGTGCGTATAGTATGTATGTGTATTTTTTTTTTCTTTTTTAAGTGAACTGTACTGTTAGCTGTTACCTGGGCCATCTGGAAGGAGCCCAGTCCTCAGTGATTGCTTGGTACTGTAGACCATTGGCAGGGTGTGTGCTTATAGCAAGCATCGGGCCCTAGGTTCAGTCTCATGCTCCAAAAACTAAGGGAAAAGCAGTATTTGCATTCTCTGTAAGATGTGTGCAGAGCAGGTAAGGAGATGTGTAGTAGGCCAGAGATGAACTGGTACAGGAGTCACCTCTGCGAAGCTCGGCCACCTCCCTCCCAGCTGTTGAGGGTTATTTGTCCCTCTAGAAAATTAGGACCAAGGTTATTTTTCTGAATAAAGTAACCACTGGATTTTTAAGGCCTAGAAATTTAAAACTCAAGCAATTTTGTACTGATTTGTAAAACATTGTTTTGAGCTTTTTACGTTTTTTCATTCTTTCTTGGAGTTTTTACATTTTGAACTGTTTTATCTTTGGCAGTTACAGAAGGTGGCCAGTATTGGTATATTGGTCCTTGGGTCTGATTTATGTTTTTGTTTAAGAACAGATTTTTAGCTGTGTGTTTCCAGCACTCAGGAGGCAGAGGCTTGGTGGATCTGTGAGTTCCGAGGCTAGCTTCTGGTCCCTGTGTCCAGGAAGAATCATTAATTTTGCACAGAACTGAGTATGACTTTGGAACTTTTTTGCATTTTTCTGTTTAAGTAAGGGCACCTCCAAGGTTGTGACTTAATGCTGTTAGTCACAGGCAGTAGTAGCTAGAGGTCTTTTTTAAATGAAACAGTGATTAAAAATTCTCTTCCCAGGATGTCTACCTTTTAAAAATTGGAGTCTTTTGACCAAATGAAAAAGTGTGTAGCTGTCATTTTTTTCCTATGTCAATATGACTTGAGTAGGTGTGTTGGCGTGATGTTTTGAAACCACATAGTTAGAGCTATCAATAAAGGCATTTTAAGGTACTGTCAGCTTCTGTCCTTTTAGAAGGAGTTCAAGTTTATGCCTTAATTTGTTGTCTAAAACTTTTTTAAGAAAGCATATAATCATGACAGATGTATAGCATTTTTTTAAAAATCACAATATTCAGTACTTTAGAAAATCTTAGTTTGATATAGACAGGCAGTCTTAGTAAATTTCGGTAGGTTATAGGTTTAACCTGTGTAATTATTTTTGCATATAATGTTCGTTAATCAATATTGCTATCTTTTTCTAGTGGTTTAACTTGAATTCTCTGCTGACGGGTCCAGAACTAATATCAGATACATACCTCGCACTCTTCTTAGCTCAATTACAGCAAGAAGGTAAATAAATGCCAGAAATTTTATCTTTGAAAGTTGCTTAAACAAAAACTGAGTCATTATTTGTGCGTGTAATAGTATATGATCCCTGGCTGTGGCGGTGAATCACCCTCAGGACGTAGGTGTTCAGCTAAGGGCTGTAGTTTGGGTGACACACTTCCATGTGAGTGCTCTCTACATTGGGACCTCCCCTGAGTCAGAGGCTTCCTAAGTGATACCTTTTCCCTTGTACATCCTCCACATCACACGGCTGACAGGCGCATGCTCCACCCATTGCTGCTGACTCATTTTCAGCCACTGTTCCTTGAATGGACTCCGGTGCCTGTGAATTACCTGCCTCTGGATTCACCATGCCCTATCTGTGCCTACTGTGAGGTGCCTCCTTTTCACTGGAGGCTTCAAATGACTGGTTATATGTCTCTCTTTCATCAGCTTTTAGGCATTTCTACTCCAGTAACTACCCCTCTTTCAAAGACCATTTTCTTCATTCTTGTCTTGACATCACCAATAACTGATTCCCTTCAGATCCCAGTCGTAAGCATCCGTATTCTTTGACCATCACCTTCTACCCCAACATGCCTTCTCCTTTGCCATTCTAACCAGGCTTTCAAGTTACCATGAGACCCAGAAACTCCTCTTATATTCTGCAGTTTTTACTCTGATTATTTTACTTTTTAATTTTAAAATTTTATTTTATGTGGGAAGGTGTTTTGCCTGCATCTTTTTTTCCTCTCAGATTTTAGTTCCCTTGTTTATTTGTAGTTCATTTTTTTGAACCCTGAGCGGAAATTTTAGAAGCTGGACTTTGGGATATATTGGGATTCCTGGACCTGGATAGTTGTGAGCCACCATGTGAGTGCTGGGACCAGAACCTGGATCTCTTGCGAGAACGGCCAGTGATGTTAACCTCTGAGCCATCTCTCCAGCACCTGATATTATCATTCTGTTGCATCCCTCAACTTCTTTTTCTCCCCTATCATTCTTAAATAACGAGAATCTTTCATTTGCCATTTGTGCTTACAGATTTCAAAGGACTCTTTGGTAGTTATTTCACAGTGTATCTCTCCCTTCCTAACAACTCGGTATGCCTTATACCTTGCTCTTGTATTCTTCTGAGAGCATAGATACAGTCCTCTTCACCTTGCTTCTGTTTCTTTTTGTGTTCTGAGCTTATTAAATGGACAGACCCTACATCTAAGGCCAGCCCCTCCATGTATCCTGTATCCCTGTTCCTCCCACTAGTCAACAGTCTATTTTTGCCTTTTCTGAGTTGAACATTCCTCCCGCTATCTAAAAGTCTGTCCATGAGTAAAAAGCTTTTTGCCTCCATTGATTAAACTAAGGAGCTTCTCTTAACTCTGTGAGACTCTAGCTACTTGCCCATTTGTAATTTTCTCATTAGACTTAACCTCTGATGCATTATCTCCTATTGGACTCATTGCAGTTGCGTTGCCGTACACCAGTGCGTCTCACTGTCACTGGTGACTCCTGCCTCCTTTTATCTTTACCTTAGACGTTCCTTCTGAACACCAATCCTGGTGCTGGCTTCTTCATTAGGCAGTCAGAAGATTTCAAATCAAACATGTCCAAGAAGACTTTTTAAATTTTTAAAAATAGTTTATGCATATGAATGTATATCTATGCACCACATGTGTGCCTGGTGTCCATGGAGGCCAGAGAAGGGCATCTGATTCTCTGGAACTGGAATTACAGATGGTTGTGAGCTGGTGTGCAAGGGCTAGGAATCAAATATGAATCCCCTGGAAGAGCAGCAAGTGCTCTTAACCACTGAACCGTCTCTCCAGCCCCAAAGGACTTGGCTTCTCCGCTTGTGGTTTGGTTGGTTGGTTTTGCTTGCCTGCCTATATGTGCTTTCTTTCAGGCTTCCATTTCAGAAAGAATCATTCTTGTACCCTGGTTTCTTTATGTTATGTTGATAAAGCAGCCAGAGCGCTTTTATAAAAACATAATATATCACACACTTACTTTACCTGTTAGTGGTTTGCTAACACTGAAAATTAGTTCCAAAGTCTGAAATGGTTGTCTGTATAAGGCAGAATCTCTCAGGGCCTGCTCAGTAGATAGCATAGTGAGTTGACATACTTCTTCTAGGGTTTAGAAATACTTTTATTAGCAGAAAACACGTTAAGACACCTGAACTCTGAATAAGCTTGACCTTACCAAAAAAAAATGTGTTAAACATATTCCCTCTCAACCTTTGTTTCGTTGAAGTTTAAAAAGATCAATGGTAGAAAACATTAAATAAATTGGACTTAATTGTAGCTGAGAAAACCTGGCTTATTAGGTGTGTTTATTACAAATTGCATTGTATCAGTTTTCTTTTTTTTTTTTTTCAAAGTACAAGGCATGTTGGCACACTGACTAGATTTGGGGTACTGTCTTCTCAGTTCCTGTTTTTAGTTAGCAGGCTTTGTGGATGGGGCAGGGAGCAAGGTGAGGAGATGCAATTTCCAACATGTATTCCAACAACTTTATCCATTCTACCAGTCACTGGAAATATTCCCCAAATGTGTCTTCACACTAGCCGTTTGGGGAAGGTTCCTTTATCTCTGTTTGAGAATTAAAGATACCTACACAGATGGGTAAAATAATTGACAGACCCTGTGGCAATGGAAACTGGCAGAGCTAGAATTAAACACAAGCAATTGAGTCCATGTCATTTTCTGTACTCTTCGTTTTTCTGCCTGCCTGCTCCCTTTCAGTGAGCAGTCATGTAGTCAGGCTCTGCTTTCTAGGGCCCTTGTAGACAGGACTGCTTTTGATCTTGTAGCCATCAAGTCTACCTGATGAGAACTGTGAGGCTCAGATCTGTGTGGTTTGTTAGGGACTACCCTCCTGATCCAAGTGAGAGCCATCACATAGTCAGGTCTTTTTGAACTCTCCCGCATATTTTTTCCTGCTGTACTCTGGTACCTTTCTGTCAGCTATCATTTCAAATTAAGTTTGAACCTCCTACTAGTTGTTTTAGTTTATTTTTGCCTCTTTTTAGGTTATTCTATATTTGTTGTTAAGGGTGATTTGCCGGACTGTGAAGCTGACCAACTTTTGCAGATGATCAAGGTCCAGCAGATGCATCGACCAAAACTTATTGGAGAAGAATTGGCACAACTGAAAGAACAGAGGTAGAAATTTAGCATTATTGTGGAACATACAATATAGCATGCTCTTAAGATAATTGCATGTCCATGGTTACATTTTTCATGTCTATGTGAGTATATGCCACGTGTGTGGGTTCCCACTGACGCCAGTATTGGGGTTGGATCCCATGGAGCTAGAGTTACAGGTGATTGTGAGCTGCAGGATGTGAATGCTGGGAACTGAACTTGGCCCTTTGGAGAGCAGGAAGTGATAGTAACCACTGAGCCACCTCTCCAGACACTGCTTATATTTAACATCTGATTATTTGCCACCAGTAACTTCTTTATTGTTTTGGATCTTATTTTTATTTTGTGTTTATTTTTGTGGTGGTAGAGATCGACCTCTTGTTCATACTAGCCAAATAGTCTATTATTCAATTAGGCCCAATCCCCTATTTTCATTTCATCTATTTATTAAAAAATTTTGACCATTTTATGTAACTATATGGACAAATTTTGATGGGGTACAGGGAATTCAAGACTTTGTGCTTATGTAATTTTAAGTTTTTATTTGACAATTGTATACATATGTATATAATTATTTTTATTATGTTTATTCCTCATTACCCTCTCTTAACCCCTTTCTATTCCCTCTGAATCCCTTATCTTCCCAACAGGTCTCCTCCTCCTCTCTCTCTCTCTCTCTCTCTCTCTCTCTCTTTCTCTCTCCTCACTGAGTTTAATTAGGATTGTTTGCATGGACAACCTACCTACTAGTGGCTGTACCACTAAAGGAAAATTACTCCCTCTCCTTTAGCAGTGATAACAGCCAAGTAGCTCTTCAGCTAGGGATGGGGGCCTCATGAGTGCTCTCCTGCCTGTCCATGCAGCAATGTTGATCTCTTGATCTTGTGAAGTTTTTATGCTGGTAACCATAGCTGCTATGAGTTCAGGATAGCAGCCATGTCATAGTCAGAAGACCGCATTTCACAGTGTCCCTCCTGAATCTCCTGTGAAGGAGAATGCTTATAGATTCAAGATACCTTTATTCAGATAAATACCAGCCAAACGCAAGCCAGAGCCTGCCCAGGGGCAGCAAGGCAGGGAGGCCAGAGAGAAGGGGCAGCCGAAGGGGAAGAGAGCGTTCCATGTGCTCTCGGTCACTTAAGAAGCCCTCTCACATCACCCTGACCTCACCTTGACCACGCCGGTTAAGGCGTGGTCAGGCACACCTGTAGCCAGCCCTTAGGAGGTGTGGCTACAGTGTCGCCCTATAATTCCCCTTTTAGTCTAAAAGAGGTTTAAAACTTAATAGTGTAAAATATCCAAAATTAACAATCATAAAGGTGAAACACAAGAATCTGCTATTGTACATCTTAACCATGTCTATTCCAGCTAAACCCTAAAGTCATCTGAAAGGGGTGTCCAACCTGAACACCTCCTTCCAATCCCAATCCTAAACAATAGGAAGGTCATTCCTAACTAGGCTTACACTACCCTAATAGGCAATAATGGGGAATGGGGGCGTAGCATCCTCCAAGTTACTTCCTGCTGAAATGGGACAATGGTAGCCTTGCAGGGTCCTGTGGGAAGAAAATGTTAGAATAGTGAAAGTCTCTAACAGGTTATATCCAGTCCATGTTAGATGGGATTTGTTTGATTGAAGATCTAGGTTGAAATCCTCAACTTGATTGAAGTCAGTTCTTGAAGCTCAACTCAGTTGTTTACTAGACCTTCTCTTCTAGAGTGTTTTTTGATCTAAAATCTTTAGCTTGTAAGTGCCTTATGTTTTACCTAAAGTTGAAAACAGTGGGACTGGAGAGATGGCTCAGTGGTTAAGAGGGCCTAGGTTTGATTCTCAGCAACTACCTGGTAACTCACAATATTCTATAACTCCAATCTCAGGGGATCCAGCACCCTCTTCTGGCCCCTCAGGCACTGCACATACACTGTGAAGACATACATACGAAGGAAATATCCATACACATAGAATTTTTTAATGAAAAAATAAAATAAACTTGGAGGCCAGTCTGTAATTTTTATGAATGCATTTGTTTAGTGTTCTCAAAGCAGATCTGGAGCGAGTCCTAGAGGCAGCTGATGGGGCGGGAATGTTGGATGAAGATGAGGATGATTTACAGAGGGCTCTAGCAATAAGTCGTCAGGAAATTGACATGGAGGATGAAGAAGCTGATCTCCGCAGGGCCATTCAGCTTAGTATGCAAGGTATGAACATTTTGGTGTGCATTTTAGTCATTTTTTGGAGAACTGGTTCACGTTGTTCTTAGCTTTTCTGAAAATTATTGTGCTTTTGGAAGTTCTTTGGTAGTTACCGCAAAAGCAATAGCTCTAGAATTTCAGTATTTCTTTTAGATTTCCTTGATCTTGAATCACCTTTATACCCTGTATTATACTAGGGCTGTATTTGTTGTGTTTAACGCAGATAGAGTTTTACTTCTGGTTATGTTATTTGGTTACAATACTGAAACAGTACAAGTGATTGAATAAATTTTCTAGTGGCTAGATGACCCTTACCCAAGCCAGATGTTTTAACAAATGCACCCAGTGGGCGGACTCCCAGTACTTCCTGGCTGTACAGCTTATGATTTAGACACCTTTGTCACTGATGTGAGTCCATCAGCGGAGGATCCGTGACAGTAAACCTCCTTGGCAATGTAGGCAGAGAAAAGTGTTGAGACACTCAAAGCAGATTTCTGAAAGCACAAAGTGCTTTATTTTAGTGATTTTCTTTTAATCTAATTTATATGAAACTGCTTCTACTTTTAATGAGATTGCCAATCATCTGAATTTCTTAAATGTCTTAGTGCATTGAGCATCCGTTAACATAGCCATTACTTTATCCTAGCCTCCTCACCTCCAGGCCTACCTCTGCAAACTCCATGTAGTGTGAAGTCCCATGTTTTATTATCAGGGGCCTGCTACATTATTGCAGCAATGCCCAGAAAACCATCTTACCACTGTCAAAATTTACATTTGGTCTATTTAGTAAGAACTTAGAAACCTAAATGTTGACCAGAGTAAGGGCATGTTATGGTTGTCATCATAGGTCGCTTTGAAAGGTGTAGATGCAGTTTGGGGAAGTTAAAGAGCCTACATGACTTCTCATACCAGATGAATTGTGGGCTTGTATTCTCATATCTGCATCACAGATAGCGCATCAGCCTGAGACATTTTCAGAGATTTTTCCTGAGACATTTACAGAATAGTAGTGGATGTTCTTAAGAAGAAAACTTTCTAGAAGCTTGCTCCACGAAGAACAAGCATACTGATGCTTGAACAGGTATTTATAATGATTGGCTTTTTTTAGGTAGTTCCAGAAGTATGTCTCAAGATAGTCCCCAGACATCCAGTACCAGTCTTACTTCAGAAGAGCTGCGGAAGAGGAGAGAAGCCTACTTTGAAAAGTAAAGTAGTTGGTACAGATTAAAGTTACATATTTCATACTTGCTGATTTTGTCTGTTTGTAAATTACTGCTTATTGCCTGAACTTATGAACATAACAAATCTTTTTTAAGCTTTTTGTTTGTTTGTTTGTTTGTTTTCCCCAGACAGGGTTTCTCTGTGGCTTTGGAGTCTATCCTGGAACTCCCTTTGTAGACCAGGCTGGCCTTGAACTCACAGAGATCCTCCTGCCTCTGCCTCCCAAGTGCTGGGATTAAAGGTGTGTGCCACTCCAGGCCCAGCATTTTATTTATTTGTTTGTTTGTTTGTTTGTTTATTTTTACAGGGAATAAAGTGTAAAATACTTACCAGTTTTAGAGAAAAACCTTTGCCCGATCTTGGATAAATTTACATGGTTTAGGATAAAGGAAACCTTGTGGAATTTTGCTTATCAGTAGGAAAATGGACTTAGGACAGGAAGAACTACCTACCTATTGATCCATTGGCTCTGCTAACCCTCCCATCAGTTAACAGGAAAAAGCATTTGAGGAAGGTGGGGCTATTCCCAAGTACAAGCAGTAGGTGCTCTGTCGTCCTGCTGGTTGTCACTGTAGCAGGCCCAAGGCCCATCAGCATCAGGGACATAGAAACCATAAATCTGAACCATAAGCTCCCAAAACCCAGTTTATAAGTATTTACACTTTTTGTTTGTTTGTTTGTTTGTTTGGTTTTTCAAGACAGGGTTTCTCTGTGTAGCTTTGTAGACTATGTGGCATCAAATTCACAGAGATCCACCTGTCTCTGCCTCCCAAGTGCTGGGATTAAAGGTGTGCACCACCACTGCCTGGCTGTATTTACAGTTTTATAGTGTCTTCCTTTCTGTTTTTTTTTTTATATATATATTTTTATCTTTATTTTTTGGAGCTCCAGCTGGCCTTAAACTCCTGGCTATCTTTCTGCCTCAGCTTCCCTTGGGCTAGGATTACAGATATATGTCATCATACTCAACTTTTGATTATTTTAAAACCAAACTGCTCCTTAAAAGTGACCAATAATATGATCAATAATTATGATCAATAATAGATAATTGAACCCTCTGACTCAGGTCAGAAAGATAAGGCTAGAGATGGACTCTACAGCTATATATCCCGTCTCATCAATCAGTGATCCATTTATTTTCACATTTTAAAATCTCTGAATGTCTAGGATGCAGCTCAGTGGACAGTGCTCACCCAGCATGTGTGAGGCTAGGGCTTCAACCTCTGCACAGCAGCAGTGGCCACACAGCAGGACCTCTGAACATGAGCAGCCACATCTTAGAGTTGTAGTTGGCGATTAGTGGTATAGAGTTTGGACCATTTTGCATCTGCTGGTATTGTGAAGATAATGTTTACCTTTTTCTGTTTTCTGTTTTTTAAAGTCACAACTCAGAAGTATATGAAGGAAAGTTCTGATCAGCTGACATCCTCTTAATGTGAGATATTTCTAGTCTTTATTCAGTGACTGATTAGTAGATTTAATTATATTTACATCCTAAAATAGTGCTTATTAGTGTTTTTCATATCCTTTTGAATTTTAAAATTAACTGTTTTTAAATTAGATAAACCTTAGGTTTATACATAACACACCCATAGTTATTGCCCAGATTTAATAAATACCAGCACATAAGGCAGGTTTTATGCTTCTGACTCCCATTTCTTTCCATTCTCCCATGGGTGTGGACTTGTAATTCACAATCATCATGTCATTACTATTTAGTATGTGCCCACAGAATATTTGGAGTTTTTTGTTTGTTTGTTTTCTGTAGGGTTGTTTCGTTTTTGTTTCTGTGTTGTTTTTGACCAGGCTCCCTTAAAGTATGTTCCCACTATCCCTTTCTTCAAAAAGTGATGCTAATGACTGCATACATTCCCATATATATATATATATATTTGTATTCTTTCTGTGTGAGAAAGTGTGTATGTGAGAATGAGGAATGAATGTGTGTGTCTGTGTGTGTGTATGGGGTGGAGAGTGAATTACACTGTATGGGCACACAGCACAGGCTACTTGGCAGGAGTCGGTACCTCTTCTTCTACATGTAGGACTGTGAATTGAACTCAGGTCGTCAGGCTTAGCAGAATCATCATACGCTGTACCTTGTCACCCACTCCCTTTTTTAAAAAAAAAGATTTATTTATTATGTATACAGTGTTCTGCCTACATGTATGCCTGCAGGTCAGAGAGGGCACAGATCTCATTACAGATGGTTGTGAGCTACCATGTGGTTGCTGGGAATTGAACTCAGGACTTCTGGAAGAGCAGTCAGTGCTCTTAACCTCTGAGCCATCTCTCCAGCCTCCGAAATAAAAATTTGTAGGTTTGTACTTCAGTAGTAGTGGTTGATTGTATACTGAAAATTGTTTCTGGGTTTTTACCCTCTACTGAGAACTTGAAGACAGCTAGGGAATGTTTGTTCTATTTAGTCACGTAGAGCTGAGATGAATTGAAAGTTAACTTTGTGGTGTTTACTTTAGCATTGACTAGCATTTATAAGTGCTACCGAGTTTAAGCACAGGGTGCCAAGGGCTGAGGATGGCTCATTGGTTAAAAGTGTGTGCTGCACTCGCCTTTTACTCAAATCCCCAATTACTTATCTAGAATCCCTCTCTCTCTAGTTTCTGTCAAGGGCTGTTGGCTGTAAAGATTGTCTGACTGACCTGGTGCTAACTTGTTACTCACAGTTCATCACTATGTTACCCCCCATTGAGTGTTAAAAGCCTCAGACTTAATGTAGCTAGCAAATAAAACACATAGGATTTCTTTTCTTGTGTAAAAAAATATACTAAAAATACTACTAGTACTAAAAACTAGCCTAATATAAATTCATAGCTTATGAGTGTCACTAAGTAATAGCTCCTTGACATGACATTTTTTTCTAGCAGTGATCTATAAATCTGTTTATCAATCATAAAACCCCAAGCCAGAGTCCATACCAGCACTGGTAATGCCTGCTGTTGGGAGTGTAGAATTAAGTGATGGGTCTGAAGACTATTTGCCAGCGGTTACATGTCCCACAGATATTTGTTACCACCGTTAATGTCTTCTCAAGGTACAGCTTTGAATGCTGTCATCTGCCTGTTACAAGAAACATAGTGTTTCCCAGCCAGACGGATGCAAACATTCATAGTCAAGGGGCGTTGTGGTATTTTCATTACCTAATACTTATGCCATCACTTTAATGGCTTGGCTTTGTTTATCAGACAGTTTTAGAAACAGAAGCAGGTAAGGGTGTTTAAGAAAAACACTAATAGTGAAATAGAGGCTTATAGTGTTGGTGAAGTTCTGGGCCAGGCCTCTGTAAGTATAGAGCAGTATGTGAGAAGGGCTGCGACCACTGCTGATTAGGGTGATGGGGAAAAGATCTGAACTTGCAGAGGACCCAAGTTCAGGTCCCAGAACTGCCACATGGCTCACACTTGAGCTTCAGAAGACACAACACTCTCTTCTCACTCTGAGGGCACCCACCATACATGTACATAATAAGAAATATTTTTATGTCTTAAGTATAAATAAATCAGAAAAATCTTCCATTTTATTTTATATGTATGGATATTTTACCTGCATGTATGTATGTGTACCACATGCATGTGAGCTGCCTTGTAGGTGGTGGGAATTGAACCCAGGTCATCTGAAAATGGTTCAGCCAGTGCTGAACCATCTCCAGCCTCTAACTAAATCTGTTTGTTTTGTTTTTGTTTTTATTTTCATTTTTTTTCTTTTTCTTTCTTTCCTTTTTTTTTTTTTTTTTCAAGACAGTGTTTCTCTTTGTAAGCCTGGCTCTCCTTGAATTCATTATGTAAACCAGGCTGACCCCAAACTCACAGAGATTGCCCTGCCTCTGCTGAGATTAAATACATACACCACCACATGTAACGCCCTAACTAAATCTTCAAAAAACAAATAAACATGCAAACAAAAAACCAGATATAACTGTGGTCCTAGAATCAGGGAGCCATATCATGGTTGTCAAGACTTTCTGGTCCCACTGAAACAGCCATGAGGTAAGATTTAGGACTGAATCTCCTTGGCTTTGCTTCCCAGGAAAACAGCTTCGCCTGCTTCATTGACTCATTTCTGCCCTTTGTAGCTCATAGGAGTATTTGCTCTGTAACCAGAGACCTCTTGCTCTGTAGCCTCTGCAGGCCTGAAGGCATGATGGGAAGGGCACTGAGGAGCTTGTTCCATAGCAGTCTTCAGTGCTCCCTTCACAGTTGTTGTTTCAATGTTGGCAGCTGATTTTCTTCTCGTTTTTGCATAATTTAAAGTTATGATGAATATGTACAATGCTTATGTCAGTTAAATGAAAACTTAAAAGTAGGTTAAAGGTCATCCATCTATCAGCCATAGATTCTTAAGTGGAGGAAGAAGAGGGCATGCAGGAGCCTCCATGGTGTGCCAGGGTCCCCAGAGACTAGGCCCTGCTCCAGACTGCCCATGTGTGAAGGCACACAACAGCAGAAGGAAGCAGGGAGAAGAGGGACTTCCTACTCTCTGAGTTCTTTGTTGCTCACATTTAAAACTCAAAGCAGAGAAGGACAAGTTGGGTGTGGTGTTTGCATGGGGCACTGGGAGGTAGAGGCCAGCAGATCTAGAGTTCAAGGTCATCCTAGGTCAGCAACCTGACTAGAGGCCTTTTGTTCAAAATTGAGAAGAGTGCTGGAAAACAATATGCTGTTTATGACTGAATTCTGGCCCTCTTAAAATCATACACAACTTTTTAAATATGTGACTTCTTAATCTCAGTCATTTATAGATTTTTTTTTTTAGCTTTCTGTGTATGTTTATTACTTAAAAGTAGAACTAGTGGGCAGAGCTCCTTATAGCTCTCAGTACAATTTATCCAGATTGTTGTCATACCAGAAGCATCTTCTTTCTCATTGCAGCTTAGTATTTCAGCGGACATTTTTTTCTAAACATAAGGATATACTCCTGCATGTTTCGTTTTGTTTTTGAGATAGGGATTGATAGGTTGCCCAGGGATTGAGAGGTGGCGTTTTTCCTTGGCCTCCTGAGGAGCTTGTACTACAGAAACAAGCCACCACAGACAGCTTCACTACTTTTTTGAGAGAATACCTCAGTCAGTGTTCTATTGCCGTGAATTGACAACGTGACCACAGCAGCTCTTAGAAAAGAAGCCATTTAACTGGGGCATGCTTACCGTTTCAGTGTGTAGTCTGTTATTACCATGGCGGGAAGCATGGCAGCGTGGAGGCACACGTGGTGCTGGAGAAGTAGCTGAGAGTTCTACATAGGCAGAAAGGGAGAGCCTGGCCTGGCATAGGCATTTGAAACCTCAGAGCCCACCCCGCCCCCAGTGGCACACTTCCTCTGGTAAGGCCACACCTATATGAGCCTGTAGGGGGCAGGCATTCATATCCAAACCACCCCACATTTTACTCCCCCCCCCCCCAGGCTTGTAGTTATGTTACAGTGCATACATAAGTTAGAGCAACTTCAAATATGTGTTCTGAGGTTCATGCAGTCATTTAACTGTAAGCCCTTGTAAAACCAAAATCAAAACGCAGATCACACACTTCCAACATACAGAGGCACTGTGGTGGCATACAGTTGTTTCCATTTCTTCATCAAGTATGTGATGAAGCTGCTGTATGACAGACACAGTCTCAGTTTCTGGGGACACAGGTAAGCAGCATAAGGTTTGTGCTCTGCTTAGCTTCCAGGTCAAACAGAAGCATCAAGGTGGCAGTGTGTTTGTGCTGGTGATTCAAGTGAAACAGTGAGAGGATCACCAGAGGGGTCTCCAGGGAGAAACTTACTAAATTCAGGGAGCCAGCCAGGGAGAAGCACAGTCAATTGAGATGCTTTGTCTTATCAAAGGTATTTTTCAGTGGCTCCTAGGATTAAAGGTGCATAAACCAACATTCACTGGCATATGAATAACTACTAGTAACCCGTATACAGGAAATGAAAATACCCACTTCTTGTTTGATAGCTCAAATATGTAGGTTTCTTAGAATAAAAGTTTTGACCCTTTTATACTTGTAATTATCAAACTGTTTCTCACCTTCTAAGGTGTTCAGGCCAGGGTTCATTTTGGTTCATGGAAACTCTTATGTCCTCCATGAATAAGAAATAAATTATCATGGACTATTTATCTCTTAGGTGTTGTTTTAACATATATTCTCTTTTGAATGTTCCAGGCAGCAGCAGCAGGAGTTAGACCCACCTAGACAGCTTCCATATGCTTGTGAAAGACCGACCCCAAGTTCAGGGGGACTGGGAAACAGCCAAGGTATGGCTCTCTGGCCATTCACCATGATTTTTACTCCAATACTTTACTGATACCCAAGGTTCATGTCGTTTTGCTTTATATTTTCTTCCTTTTTTAGTTGTATTAAAACTCCTATATGGATTTGTTATCTTCTAAGTTCCTTTGAAGTAAGAAGCAGACAGATTAGAACTCTTCCTGAACTTTTAGGTTTTTTTTTGTTTTTTGTTTTGTTTTTTGTTTTTTTTTTGAGATAGCGTTTCTTTGTGGCTTTGGAGGCTGCCCTGGAACTAGCTCTTATAGACCAGGCTGGTCTCGAACTCACAGAGATCCTCCTGCTTCTACCTCCCGAGTGTTGGGATTAAAGGTGTGCACCACTATTTGACTCCTGAGTGCTGACATTATAGTTATGCTCTGCCACACCTTGATTCCGCATATAGATTCAAGAGCAGAACAATACCTGAAAGCTAGAAATCTACAAACTGGAGAAGCTGAATGAACTTCAAATTAGTATAAACCCAAAGAAATGCATACCAAGACTCATAGACTTCTGAAAACTGAAGACACTGTCCCACATCAGCAAGAAATAACCTTCCCAACAGCGATTTGAAATGGAGAAGTTTCTTGTGAGTGAAGGAGTGGATAATGCATTTTAAAGTGCTGAAAGAAAATTTTAAACCCAGGATTACTTATGCAGTAATTAACATCCTCTTTAGAATTGAGGAACAAAAAGTCTCTAGCAGTCCTATCCTTTAAAAGCTAGAGAAAGGGAACTGGATGTGTTGGTGCACACCATTAGTCCCAACACTTGGGAGGCAGAGGCAAGCAGATATGTAAGTTCAAGCCCAGCCTGGTCTACAAAGTGAGTTCCAGGGCAGCCAAAGCTACACAGAGGAACCCTGTCTCAAAAACAAAATAAAACAAAACTAAACTAAAGAACAGGGTGGCTATATGGGCCTGGGCAGGAGATCAGCCATCATCAGAGCCAGGACTAGCCATCAGTTATAGAGCCCCACAACTGGACAATGCAGAAAGTGAGAGACCTTGAGATACCCTAAATGGATGTCTCCATCAAACTCTGCCCCTTAGGGCTCAGGGAAGTTTGAGGAGGTGTGGCAGAAAGATGGTACCACCCAGTGGGGATGGAAGATACCAGGAAAACAGTGCCTTCCAGATACACTGGAACACATACAAACTCCGAGAGATGGTGGCAACATGCACAGGGTCTGCCTGAGGGGTCTCAGCCCTGAGATGGGGAAGTAGATATGATCATCCCTAACTCAGAAGCTCTCTCCAACTGACAACCACTTGCAGAAAGAAAATCAGTTTTCTCCATTGGAGTCTCATTAGGTATATGAATCACATTCGAGGGCAGCCCCATGCCCAGTAGATGACCAACTCAAAACAAATTCAGTGTTCTTTGTGAAGAATTTTTGTCTCTTAATGCTTTGGCTTCTTTTTCCTTTAAACCTTACTGGTCTTTTACTTATCTATTACAGTTTCTGATTTTGTGTTTTTATGGGTTTTCTATGTGCATGTGTGTCTCTGCATGAATATGTATGTCTAATGTGCTTTTTTTTTCTCTTTTTTCCCCTGTGTTTCCTTTGTTCTGTGGGTTTTTGTTTTTGTTTTTTAAATTTTCCTGTTTTTTTTTTTCCCCTAAGGCGAGAGAAAGAAAGCATGATGTTGGATGGGTGGGAAGGTGGGGAGGATATCTGAGGAGGCGAGGGAGGGGAAACCCTGATCAGAATATATTGTTTGAAAAAAAGTATTTTCAATTAAGAAAAATAAGAAAAATTCTCAAAACTGAAAATTAATGAGGTGATATTGAGGCAAGAATAGGAAGAGTGAAAGATGTTAAATATAGTTCCTTCCTTTTGAATTTTCTGAATTATATTTGATGGTTGAAACAAAATTTGTATTACTGATCTGTTTTGATTGTATGTTTGGCAGTTATGAATGAGGGAGGCTAAGGGACAGGAAGTGAGGTGAGCTTTCTCTATTGCGTTTTAACTTCAGAAAGTAATTCAGTTGTTCCTTAAAAAACCTGAACATACACCAGGACACCTTTAATCTTGGCACTCCAGAGGCAGAAGCAGGTGAGTTTCTATGAGTTCAAGGCTAGCCTAGTCTACATAGTGAGTTCCAGGTCAGCCAGAGCTACATTGTGAGACCCTGTCTTCAAGAAAACAAGCATTATTTATTACTGTTAATAAACCCAGTAAATGTCAAATGCATTATGATAAATGAAAAGGTCTATATTCAAAAGGCTGTGTATACCATATGAGACCATGACTTGCCAGACGGGAAGCACCATAAACAGACACCTGGCTGGGCTTTGGGTTGGCCACAAAGGAACCGGACAAAAAGGAGCAATAGGTATATGTCTTAAATGATGTTTTGTTCTCTATCCATTTGTGGATTTTAAACTGTCACACAAATGGCATGTGAATCACAAAGTCAAAAAAAGGAAACTAGGGCCAGCAAGATGGCTCAGCAGAGAAAGGTGCTTGCTGCCAAACCTGACACCCTGGGTCCAGTCATCAGAAACCACCTGCTGGAAGGAGGACACTAGCTCTGTCCTCTGGCCTCTGCACACAGCATGGCACAGTGTGCCTGCAGATTCACACAGTTAAGTCTTTTTTCCAAAAAGACTTTTTTGGACAGTTTTCTTATAGCTTGGGCTGGCTCCAAATGCTGTATTGTCAAGGACAACCTTAACTTCTGAGTCTCCCATCTCTGTCTCTTGAGTGTTAGGATTACAGGAGACTCCATGCCCGATTTTATGCCATGCTAGGGATTGAACCCAGGGCCTTGTGCGTGCCAGGCAAGCACTCTACTGACTTAGCGACACCCTAGTTCAAAAGTTTGCCTTTTGATGATTGAGAATCTTCCAGAAACGTCTCTGAGAACTCTGTTTTCTTTCCCAGCAGGTGATGCCTCGAGAGAAGAAGACATGCTTCGGGCAGCTGTAAACATGTCTTTAGAAACTGCTAAAGATAATTTGAAAGCAGAAAGAAAAAAATAATACCTTTAAAAATCATTTTGCTACTCATACTTTCTAACATTGTCTGTGTGATTACAGTGTAAGGTCCACTTTGGCAGTGTGTTCACTGGAAGAGATAAGATAAGACACTTGGGTGGTTTATAAGCAAATGTTCAGAAAGCCAGAAACGTGTCATAGGACTAACTCATGATCCTGATATTAGCCAAAGAGGCAGTCAGCAACTAAAGAAACTTAAGGTGGTTTTCTAAAGGTCCCTTTTTGTTTTTCATGTGTGCAATATCTAACTGAAATTAGGAGTTTTTCTTGGCTCTTTGTGGACCAACTAATTAGCTCTTGCCATTGAACTTGATCTTGTATTTTTGTTTTCATTTTTCTCTCCATTGGAGGTAGTTTGGTTCACTTGAGCTTGTTTCATATTAGACCAACCTTTTATGGAAATGTCTGTCTCCTTACAGAAAGCTAACCCTGCCTTCTCCGTGTGTGTGTGTGTGTGTGTGTGTGTGTGTGTGTGTGTGTGTGTGTGTGTGTGTGTAGGGTACATGGGTGCTTCCTTGGGGTATTTTCTCTTGGGGAACCAGCTCTAACATGGTAATCTGTTCTGAGGTTTGACTTTTTAAGCCCTCTCTAGTGGGATCATTATTTCTTAACTTTGGTGCATTCCTATACTCTACAGTCAGCGCTGCCTGAGTATCTGAGTCTAAATGAGCTGGTTTAGTGTGAGCATGAGCTTCTAGGCGCTTTGTGAAGGTTCTTGATGTTCCCTGGCTAACACCTCTAATCCTTTCATTCCATATTCCTTGAATACACACTTCCTTCTTCCTTAGCATGCATCCACCATGAGTGTACTTAAGGAGAAGCTTGGCCTTCAGTGTTGCTGCCGGCTTTGTTTTAGCTTTTTTTTTTGTGACAGGAGCTTTGTGTTCCATTTACAGTAAGTCCGGGAATATATGCCTGCTTCACTATTTTTTTTCTTTAAATAGAATATAGCCTGTTAGGATGGTAGTGTAGAATGTGAAAGTAATTTACTAATGAAAATACATAAATATACTGTGGGTTGACCCTTGCAATCATGTTTAAATTGCTTAAGAATTACAGAAGTCACAGTAGCTCCATCTGTCATAGAAGGCTCTTGTCTGTATATATGAAAGTCCTTAGTTTTGATAGACATTCTTTAATTGGAATGCACAGTCTCTCTGGGTCAATACTTTGGTATGATTTGGGTGAAAATTAACTGTGTCTCATGGGTGTCATAGATCCCGATATCTGCTCTCCCTCCCTCCCTCTCTGTCCCCTTTTGAATGTTGACTTGTACATAGGTAAATTCCAAGAAGAAATTTTAGCCAATAGCTTAGGAAGGTGAAGAATGGTATATTGCTCTACTGGTGTGTGTTCTGCACACGTTTTTATCAGGGAAAGTGTTTTGATGTAGGATTTATTGCTGTCTAACTGCAAAAAATGCAAATATTTTTATTTAAGATTATGGATAGGACAGATGGTTTTGCTTTGGTTGGCTACACTAGGAGTTGAACCCAGGGCCTCCCTCCTGTGTGCTAGGCAGGCATTCTACCTCTGAGCTATATCCCCAATAACAAAAGGGGGATTTTTTTTTCTTAGCCACTTTGTGCCAATTAAAGTTTTTTTTGGAGTTTGCTCTATGGAAAAATTAGTCTTATTTTAAAATCTATGAAGTTTTCTTGTAGCAATTGCAGAGATTCAGAAGAATTGTGCAACTTTAGGGTGCTGGAGTTAGGACCTTTACGATTCACAGTTAAGTGTTAGACTGAAGTACGTAACTACCCCAGTGTGCCAGTCACATTGGACGTTGGCCCTTTTCTTTTCTTGTTGAAAAATCACATTAAATGTCCCTACAGTTAGATTGATTAGCTACCTGATAGAAAAAGAGAAAGCCAATATGCATTTGTTTTAACTTAGAATTTATAAAACATTCATATAACACATCCTAGTTAAATCACTTATGAAATAAGGCATGTTGATCTTTTAATAGAGACATTTTAATGAGAAACTGAGCATACATTGAGTATCAGAGTATATTTTTTTAGTTTGTTATGAATTGTATTTGGCAAGGCAATTCCAAAAATCACTGTTGAACTGCCAGCTCTTTTGGATTGGCCCGGGGTTACCTGAACATTTAGATTTCATTATTAATGAGTAGCCAGTATAGAAAGACGCCAATGCTTATTATAACCACAATATAAAAAAGTGCAAAGGTTCTGTGAAGCTCTAGCTCATACCCCAAGAGCTGCCATTTACTGTACAACACTGCAGGACAGTCAGGGGCAAGGGAATCCACTGGCATGGTTGTGCTGTGGACTTGACTGACATTTCCATTCTGTTTTTTACCAACTGGGGAGCACCTTAATGTTTAATATTTAAACATCTAGTATCATTTTGTTTTTTTTTTCTAATGTGTAACTTGTACTACCAGATAAAATATGTACAGTTGTAATGCTAGTGTCATAAGCAAGTGTAAGAACACTTGGGAAGGCCAGGCAAGGTGCTGCACACCTTTAATCTCAGTACTTAATGGGCAGAGTCTGGCAGATCTCTCTGAGTTCGAGGCCAGTGTGGTCTATATAGTGAGTTCCAAACCTGCAAGAGCTGCACAGTGAGACCTTGTCTTAAAGAAAGAAAAAGAAACTTTAGAAAGACCATTGCCCTTTGGCCTAAACCCCAAATCTATAAAAACAAAACAAGTAAACAAAAAACAAGACAGCAATATGCAGATATTTCACTGCTATGAATTGTTTGATGCAGTAGTGTAGGTAAATTCTGCACTAAACTTTTAATACCTTGGCCACATCATTTACAATTCATAGGCGGTATTTAAGGTGGTGCTTCCCCCACACACACCCTGCAGACTTGATTTTTCTTGATGAAACCAAAGTTAATGAGAAAGAATGCTCAAATTGAGTAGTCTGCATTGTTTTATTTAATATCAAGTTGATTAAAATAAGTTGTATTCATGTCAGAGTGTAAACCATACATTTTGAGCACCTGCATATTTGATACTATTTTTTAAATCATGTCAGTGCCAAGAGTTACTCAATTCTTAGAACTGGCCCCTGTGACTGCACAAGTCCAAAGTGGGTAGTGCAGATCCAAACTGTGCTATCTGAAAGTCTTAAGTTTTAAATCCAGTTGTTAATACTGAGACCTTTGATTCCAGCCTTAAATTCGGCATCGATGATGTGCTCAACAGTAGAGCAGTTGCCTAGTGGCCCAGGCCTTGCATTCAGTCCTCACTACTGCAAAATTCACATGGAATCTACATTTCGAGGGGCCTTAAGGAGTACTTTCAAATGAAGTGTTTGCTGTACTTTAGTCCTGCCAAGTGTAGAACTATGATGTATGTAAACTTAAAAAAAAAATGGATTAACTAGTCAGTAGTAATATTTAAAACAAAAACTCTCTCTAGTCCTGATTTGTTTTTATTAAGCTAAAGAAACAAATTGGTTTTGTATTTTTTCCAAAGTGTTACACATAATAAAAAGTTTAAGACTGCAGTCATAGACGAGGTACCAGTGGGAAGTACTTCCCACTGCGTGGGAAATGCAGTTATTTAGAAATATTTGTGTCCTGCATAGTTGGAAGGTGGTATGTTTTCTGGAATTTTTTTTTAATGATTTTTTTTTTTTTTTAGAGAAAGTCAGACATTTGAAATGTGATTATCTAATTTCTACAACACTGGACTAAATAGGAATAACTTTTTTTAAAAATGACTCTTCTGTATAAATAAAATATTTGAAACTTAAGTGCAAAAGCCGTGAAATAAAAAAAGCATTGTCTTCTGGCCAATATGATGCACAGTGGCAGTGCAGTTCGCTCAGGACCCAACTCTGCAGCCCTTCCTCATGTGCCCGGTCTCCTAGAGTTTGGGCTGCCACTCCACAGGTCTTCCGTCTGTCTGTTCCTTCGAAAGCTTGGCTTCCAAAGCACTGTTGAACACTGAGGGTTCTGTTGGTGTGGATGTTAATGAGTTGTATTTTAAATATCAGAGATTATTAAATAAAGAGAATGATTGCTTTTCTATTAACCTTTCTGTGTTCATTGTGAATACATAGCCTTGTTATTCAGAGTCTGTTGGGAGGCACAGCTGCATCTCTGTCTTGTGGGAGCTTTTCCCAAATGCCGTTTCAGGTCACATACCCACTGGACCAAGGACCTTGTAGCTGGAACTTGGAGAAGCTGTCCTTGGAGCTGTGTGTTTTTACGCAGCAGCAGTAATGCATGAAACAGACCAGGGGAGCCCTCACAGATTCCTGTCAGAGAATGTATTACCACCCAGATACACAAGCCTTCCACGTCTTCATTGCTTGAGGCTGAACCCAATGACCTTTATACCTGTGCCCTCTCCTCAGATCTCTTCCAAGAATAGAATTCCACATTCTTCCTTCAAATCTGGTTTTAAATACTTGTTCAGTTGTTCTTAAGTAAGAGACAAAGCACATTTAGTAACTTGTTTTTTCAATATGAGACTTTTTTTTTTCCGGTGTTTTTAAGACAGGATTTCTCTGTGTAACTGTCCTGTCTGTCCTGAAACTTGCTTTGTAGACCAGGCTGGCCTCAAACTCACTGAGGTCTGCCTGCCTCTGCCTCCCAAGTGCTGGGATTAAAGGTGTATGCCACCACTGCCCAGCTGAGACATTTTCTATCTAGCCCTGACTGACTTGGAACATTTGGAATCTCCTGCCTTAGACTCCTGAGTGCTGAGTTTTCCAGTGTGTGCTACTATGCCTGGCTAGCATTGTTTTCTCTTGCCCATTCTCTACCCTGTGCCAGGGATATGAGCCACCCTTTGTCTCTCTGGTTGCCACAGAGAAAGTTCATTCATGTAGCATTCAGTGAACAATTTGTGTGCTTACTATTGGCCTTGCATTGTTCTAGGTTTTTAGAAACAGCCATGAGTAATACTACTCATTCAGAATATGAATGCTCTCATGGCCTGTGCTGTGAGAGGAATGTTTAGCATACCATGTGACTCAGGAGTGGCGAGCCAAATGTATATAATCTGTTGTCTTTCTTGCCACTGTGACGATGCCTGGCAAGAGACATCTTAGGAGTGATCAGTTTGGGCTCAGTCTCTGAGGGTACAGGACACCATGGCAGGGAAGGCATGGCAGCCTCCACATCTGCCATCTTGGCACATCAGGAGGCAACTTGAGGTTAGCCTGTAACCCTTCCAAGCCCTGCCCCTAGCACTGCAGCTAGGCCTCACCTCTGAAAGAGTTCCATCACCACCCTAAACAGTGCCACCGGCTAGAGACAAAAGTATTCAAACAATACTCCAGAGGACATCTCACTCAAGCCACACCAAATCATGCAATGTAAACATTGATGACTTCTCAGTAATTATGGTAACACTATTTGGAGCCCAGAAGGAAGGGGAATGGGGACATAAATACAGAAATATCAATCTATTTTTTTTCATAAAGGAAGTGGGTAGTTTATAGTATTAACCAGAAGATAGTGGGAGTGATAGCTCATGTCTGTAATCCTTACACTTGGGTGACAGAGACAGGTGGATCCCTAGTGAGTTTGAGGCCAGCATAGTCTATGTGGTAAGTTCCAGTCAACCAGGCTACATAGTGAGATAGGGGGTGCGGATGGTGTAGCTCCTAGCATTTTTTTTCTCACTTAGGAATTTACTACTTGGAACCACTGAAGCATGGGGCCTCTCTCTGATGTGATGTGTTTAATTGTGTGGTGTTGGTCTTGCAACTTCCTGAATGATGATCAGGAACACTCAGGCTAACTAAGGGGGTGTTTGGCAGGAAAAGGAAGAGTCGTCTGTGGTGATTAATCTGAGATGTCAACTTCACTTTCTGGGAAGAGGGAATTTCAATGGAAGAATTGCCTCAATCAGATTGGCCTGTAGACACGTCTGTGGTACTTTTTAAAACAAATTATTACTAATTGATATAGGAGGATCAGCTGTGGTGGGTGGTGGTGGAGGTTGCTGCAACTTTGGGCAATGAAACAGGAACCGCACAACTCAGCAAACCCACATGGAGTTTATTGGGAATGGGAGCGGTTTAGAATGAGGCTCAGCAGTTGGGGTGGTTGAAACTGGAGTCCTGGAGCTGCTGGCCTAGCTGTACATGGCCTCAGCGATGCGTGCCCTAGCTGGCCCAGTTTCTGTGTACAGAGTCCTTATTCAGCCACTTAAGGCACCCACGAGGAAGCCATGCAACACAGAGCACTTTGAGTTGTCTATCTGCCCAAAGGCCGGTAGTGTACCCTGCCAGTTATCAGGAGGCGGGGTCAGCATAATGCCAGGATATCCCTAGGCAGGTGGGCCTGTACTGTGTAAGAAAGATCATGAGCCTGGGAGTGAGCTAGTGAGCAGTCTTCCTCCATGACGCCTGCTTCAGTTCATGCCTTCAGGTTTCCTGCCTGAGTTACCGCCCAGACTTTCCTCAGTAACCTGGGAGTTGTAAGGTGAAATAAACTCTTTCTTCCTCCAACTTGTGTTTGGCCATGGTGTTTTTCACAGCAACAGAAAACCAAACTAGAACAGCATTTTAAAGTCAAATGTTATCGAATGTATGTTTTTAAGCTTGCTAGAAAAAAATTTCAAGCATATGTAAGTAAAAACAAGATTAGTACAACGAACAGTTGTGTACTCATAACCCAATTTCAATAATGACTGGTTTCTGACATTATGTTACTGTTTTATTTTTGAGACAGGGTCTCACCAGGTTACTCTGGCTTTGAGCTTGCTATGTAGACCAGGCTGGCCCGGGACTCTTAGAAATCCACTTGCCTCCTGAATGCTTGGATTAAAGGCATAAACCACCATGCCTGGCCTCTGACAGTTATCTTTTTGGAATTCTTCATGAATTTGCATGTCATCCTTGCCCAGAGGCCATGCTAATCCTCTCTGTATATTTCCAATTTTAGTATATGTGCTGCCAAAGCGAGCACTTTTTTTTTTTTTTTTTTTTGGTTTTTCAAGACAGGGTTTCTCTGTGTAGCCCTGACTGTACTAGAAGTCACTCTGTAGACCAAGCTAGCCTGCCTCTGCCTCCTGAGTGCTGGGATTTAAAGGCGTGTGCCACCACTGCCAGGTTCTGACAATTCTTTTAATGTGTATGCATGTTTGTGTGTGTGTGTGGGGGTGGGGGTGGTGTTGCATGTATGTGTGTGGAAACCAAAAGACAGCTTCGCGTGTCATCCTCAAGAAAGCCATACCTTTCTTTGAGACAGGGTCTCTCACTGATCTAGAATTCACCAGTTAGGCTAGCCTGGCTGGCCAATAAACCCAAGTAAACTTCTGTCTCTGTCCAGCCTTGTGGCACATACATGTGCTACCATGCCTTATATTTTTTATGTGGGATCTGGTGATTGAACTCAGGTTCTCATGTTGGTGAAAGAAGCACTTAGCTTAACTGAGCCATCTCCAACCTGATTTCTGGCAATTCTTGTTTCATGTTCTCACCATCTTTTTGAAATACATCCAAGATAGCATGTCACGTACTATTAAGTGTAAGTAAAGTGTACAATCACAAGGGCAGGCCACAGGTGATGGGCAACCCCCATGTAGTAAAAACATGTTTTTCCCACAGAGGAACAGAAACAAATAACAATATACAGTTGGAATGAATAATCTGAAGTAAACTCACTCGTATCTGATGCATTTTGGAGGAACACAAAAGCACATTCCAAGAACAATCCCGTTTTTGAAGAAACAGGGGTCACAAGATTATTGTTGTGTTCTTGGAGTTTTCTCACCAACACTCAGAATTCTCATACAATTCCATTCTTGGACCATGTTCTAACAGACAATGCTCTGGTCTGCTTCTTCTCTAGAGGATTTAAACCTACAGAAAATATGAGACTAATTACAGTTGCTAAACATTTCAGTCATTTGTGAACACAAGTCCTGAGTTCATGACACTCATCATCCTACACAGAATATAAGCCAGAGTCCTCTTAATGGCCTACCAGTCCCTGTGACTTGCATTCTTCATACCTTCTAGGTCCTCAATTACAAATATTCCCCAATCTATTCTGCTCAAGACATTATGACTTCTTATAAATTCTCAAAATTACCAGGGTACTCTGTCTAAAGCACTTTGTATTCAGTTGTATCTTCCTGTCTAGATTGCTTTCCCATATATATATATATATAT